TGATCAAATTAAAATATTAGCGCAAAACTCTACGTGACCTCAATGGATAGAAAAATGAGCCCGCGATACACTCAGGTGATGGTGGTCAGCGTATACTCTAGTTTGAAAACTGTCAATTAACCTTCATTAGAATGGCGAATATTCGAATTAACAGACTACGAGTGTGAGTAAGACATAACCGTCCGGCATGTAGTGGAAAATGCCAGATCGTGTACCTGAGCGAACCTGAGCCCACGTTATTAGTTTTCTGATAGTGGACTGCACATGTCCTTTTTTGACAGCTGTCAATTAACCTTAATTTGGCTTGCCAATATAACTTTAAACGACTGTCAGCCAACTGACAGCCTTGCCCGGCGGAGTTTCGTTTTTATGTTGAATTGGTAAGTGTGACATATTATATTAGCTTATATGGAGGGGCAAAACGACTGGTCTTTCATCTGCGCCCGCGAGATGGCCACGTGATAATTGTCAGCGGATGTCTGATTTTGACAGCTGTCAATCTAATCGTACTCGTACGGATGGTATACATAACTAAGAGGCTAGTCAAGTTGTGCAAGATCTATTGTGACATTTGACATCGGCTTACATGAAGTGTGTACGGGTGGGCGTACGGTACGTCATAACCAAATTTTCTCGGATGGATAGTTTACCAAATTTTCTTACCCATGGTGCTCCGCTGCGCGCGCGAGAGCTCCGCTAAAAAAATGCAATAAAAAGATGGGGTCACCGTGCTTGTTTACGCGTCAGCAAGCTCTTAAACTGGGGTATTTTTACTGGTTGCGCGTTAAAAATTCGAATCCCCTTCTTACAGAATTAAGTCTTTGTTACTTGAAACAGACATTTTTTTATCTTTACTAAAAAGCTTCTTTTATTCAAATATGCAGTATTGCTTCATTTAATTCGTTTTTGATTGCCTGGTTGCGGGGACATTGCACTTTTTCAGACAGTTCTTTGGTTAGCTTGAATCCTCGCCTTGACCCAGATACACCAAATACGGAACTATTTCCCCCCAAAAAATCATGTTCTACTACCAAAATTTTTTTCTTTTTCAAATATGTTCTTTATTAGACTGTTCTTAGCAAATACCTAGGAAAAAAAATCGGGGATCACCGTGCTTGTTTCCTTACAAACAGCTGTGAAAGGTGGACATGGTTTTGAGATTGCAGTCAGGATGGATAATTTGCGCGGCGGGGACTGGGGCTAGATACAAAATAATGCCCTTCGTGTTTGAACTGAAGTATGCTCTCGAAATCAAGCTTGTTTTCGGTTGTTTTTCTGTGTTTGATATCACCAACATAGACATTCCAACTTGAAAAGACTACATTAAATACCAAGGAATGAGGTAAGTCAAGATTTGATGAGATTTTGGAGTTATGAATCTTCATTTTGGACTTTTTTGTAGCGCCGGCGTTCTGTTTAATTCCAGTGAGCCAGGGTTCGATTTTTTTTGCCTTTGTACACTAATGCTTGACAAAGAAACTTGAAGAAAGGAATATCGATTCTTCATATGTTCGCTTGTTTGGTTCCTATAGACAGCAAAATGTGAATTCAGCAGCAAACTTCGTGTTGGAGACTGGTCTCCCTCGTGTGGTTGTGGTGTTACGGTGGGTCTTATTGGTTCCAGAAATATTCGTCTCTCCGCTCTCGGAGTTTGAACAAGGCCAGATACTGGCTCGTTAATGCAGTTGGAGAGCCGTAGAACTGTCCCACAGGCTTCACAGTCCCCATAATCCAAAGCCTCAGCCTGAACATTTTAACAATTCCACAACTCGACGGCCGCGAAATGAAAAACCGCTGCAGAGTTCGGGATCACACACATTTCTTTCATTTCCTTGTTTTTCAATAGCAGACCAGGAAGCTGTCAGCCTATCTGCGGCACTATTATTGCGAATAAAAGATTTAGCTCTGCATAAGCGGCCCTTGTTTGTTTGTGCTAGTGAGAAGACCCGCCGCCATCTTGGATGTCACAATGTTATGCGCAGTAGAGGGTGCGCAGTGTAAAACAAGGGAATTACCTTAAGCAAGAAAAATCCGTATTTTGGAAAGCATCTTTTTTGCAAAACGAGAACTGATTACGCGTGCAAGACTTCGTGTACAAGACTTTGCGACTGGTAAGAATTTCTCTTTTAATCAGGACCATAACAAAGAGCTTTGAGTTTTCTCCCCGGAAAGTTATTCTATAAAAGCAATACAAAACTTTTTTCCGGTGTTTGCATAGCCTGATATAAACACTCGAGGGGTTGGGAGAATTCTCGACAGTTATGCAAACCCTCGACGTCGTCTCGGGTTTGCACAACTTTCTTGAATTCTCCCAATCCCTCGAGTGTTTATATCAGGCTATGCAAACACGGAAAACCTTTTCTATTGCTTAATTACAAAATAACTAAAAGATAGTAAGCGCGCTCTGATTGGCGGAGAGGAGTGTTGAGAGTATGTAAACATGGTTGTGGCGTCAACATGTTTTGCTTTTCGCGCACTAATCATGCAAGCACAAATTTGAAAAAGTTTTCAAGTTCAAAAGTCGACAAGTTTACCTTATTTACCCATTCCTTTGTCGGCTGAAACTTGGAAAATCGTTACAAAGAAAGTGTCAATTTTTTTTCGCTTAAGCTGACATTTTAAGCGAGAAAAGTAGGTATTTTGGAAAGCATCTTTTTGCAAAACAAGAACTGATTACGCGTGCAAGACTTCGTGGACAAGACTTTGCGACTGGTAAGAATTTCTCTTTTAATCAGTGCCATACAAAGAGTTTTGCGTTTTTTATCGGGAAATTTATTTTATAAAAGCAATAGAAAACTTTTCTCCTGTTTTTGTATAGCCTGATATAAACACTCGTGGCGTTGGGAGAATTCTCGACAGTTATGCATAACTGTCTCGAATTCTCCCAACCCCTCTCGTGTTTATATCAGGCTATGCAAACTCGGAAAACGTTTTCTATTGCTTACTTGCAAAAAATAAACTTGAGCCTGCGATCATTTGAAACTGGTAATTCGTCAGCGGATAACTTCAAAAAACATACTCGACCTCGATGGGTCGACACTTGAGCCCGCGGTACGGTCAGGTGACACTGGTCAGCGGATACTCTGTTTTGACAGCTTTCAATTGATCACAACATTGATGTGCAATTAGTTTTTTTTGTGCTCCTAAACTAGCTAGAAAGTGTGAGTGTACGGTCACGTGATTACCAAATTATCATCCGTCCACGCGCGAAGCGCCGCGCTTGGAGCTCCGCTATTAGGCTACAATAACTTAATTAGGACCTGCACAAGCAAGTGCTATCAGTCATTACTAAAATCCATCTAGTGGTCTATTATCAATGCTGCGTTCTGATTGGTCGAGCTACTACTAGGCTATATGTTATAGCCCACTAATCGCGTTTGGCTAGCTAAACTTGTTTTGTCTCAATATTTTTGACCAACCAGCTGGATTTTACTAAAACAATTATTCCTCTCGCCCTCATGGCCTCTGAGTCAATAGCCCATTCGGCCTTCGGCCTGACTCGGAGCTTATTCGGGCTCGAGGAATAATTGTTGAATGTAAGATCATTTAGGTAGACTGCATTCGAAAGACCCTTGAAAATGGACGCATAACAGATCGGGTGCGTGATGATGAATAAACCAGCCTTGGAGCGTTGGTTCTTGTGTGGAGCAAATCAAAGGATTGTGTTGTACTCAGTACGTCGATTGAGGGCTAGTGCTCGTTCGTAGTTGGACCTCTTTATGGCTTCCAATTCATCTTGTAAGTTCAGTTTATGAAAGTTTTTTCACTTATTCTATTCTTATGTTTTTCCATCGTATTACAGGTTCAGCCAAGGTATCCTTCATTTACAGTATGTCTAACCCAGCTGATGTTGTCATAACAACATTAACGTCCATATTTCTAATGACCACCATCGTTGGAAACCTTCTTATTTGTGCCATTGTATTCAGAAATCGTGACATGAGGTGAGTGCAGTTCTCCTTATTCTGCGAAAGAGACCTACAATTCTCTTAGACCGCGCGACTCTAAGGACGAGAGAGCGCGGTTTAGTTTCCGCCGTGAAATAGTTTGATAAAAGTTTGGGTTGAAATTATTACATTTATTAATGACCACATAACAGGCTCAAATGTCATCTTGCAGAAGTATTCGATGTTGTACGTGTACATCTGGTTCAATGTCGAGTACATAGCCCTTTTTATCTTTCGATAAGCACAGATTGAGAAAAAATATCCAGCCGGAGACCGATTATTAAAAAGTTTGTCAGTTCACGGTACCCGGCTGTAAGAGTCACACTTCAGTTACATCGTAACATCACTAAATTTTCCAAATTATATAGCCAGTTCCAAGGAGAAAAATTTAATTGTGAAAACTGGAGAAGAATACTCCGTTCCACGTCTCTTTTCTTTTTTTTTCGTTTCTTTCAAGTTTTGATAAAGACCAGTTAACGAATATCCATTCACAGTCCTGGAAAGAGCGCTTTAAAATTAGGAAACTTTAAAGGTTATACGTTAAAAGCGAACGAATTTAGTTGCTCCACAAAGTCGCAAAATTTTACAGACGTGTGTGTAGTGGGGGAGGGGAGGTGGGGGAACAAACTTGCCCCACCCCCCCCCCCCCCCCCCCCCAAACCCAACCAATTCCAGACCCTTTTTCGCGCGTAAAAAGAGAGGTGGGGGGGAGGGGGTGGTGAGGTGGGGGGGGGGGGGGTCGTAAAAAAAAAAAAAAAAAAAAAAAGAGAGAAAAGGAAGCAGGTCAATTGTGGGTTCATATGTTCCCGTGAAAGAAATGAGTGAATATATGATATATGACATAAATCATATCTTTGCTGATTTTAATGCGTTCTTGTCAGCCATGTTGACCATTGACGGATTTTCGCTAACTGGTTCCAGTCAAAAGTTGAAAAACCCGTGGAAGAGTCTGTTGAGCAGAAACTGCTAAATGATCTTCAAAGAAAGGAAAAATAAGGGAATACCTCCTTAATCGTGCCATAAAGTGGATTAATCTTAACTTCCTCACTTGACAGGATTACTATAAATTTCCTACTTGTGAATTTGGCAGTGGGGGACATTACCTACGCGATTTTTAACATACCACTGTTAGTTATCAGCCACATCAACGGACATCCGGAAGGAGTGGCGGGGGGAGATTTTATGTTCTTTAGAAATGGAGGCCCGGCACGGGGTGGAGAAGGTGCTTCGGTCTTCACCCTTGTTGCCATCGCAACGGAACGTTACTATGCCGTCATATATCCACTTGGTAACAAAGGAAAGCTGAAAACACGCAAGCTTAAGGTAACCTTTACTGGAAGCACTGAAATGTTGACCCCAATCCAATATTTTCCAATTATCGCACATTTTTTAAATCCCCCACGAATTTCATTCATTTAAAACATTCGAAAAATCATCTAAAATTTCTTAAACAATTGTTTAACTAAGGACTTTGACCTAATAGCGATACACACGCTGACGTTACTTATTGCTATTACTTTACCGAGAGGAAATTATTTTTGTTCTCTTATTGGACCAATCTTAGCGTGCTTGAAGACTCGATAGATAATTTGTATTCCAGAAAAGCTTTAAAGGTTAAGAAACTAATTGGTTCACTTTCTTTGGCTGCGGTGTAGATGTTGCAGGTCAAAATCAAATTCAGGCTAACTTTTTTAACCTAGGTTAATTGTCAATTTCCTTTGTCTCCTAGCCTTAATTACTCAAAAATTAGGGCTAGGAGAATTAAGAATCAACCAAGATTAAAATTTTTTAACCTGAATGTAATTTTGACCTGTAACACAGATATAAAAAAGAGTAACTATCAGGCAAAGATTGAACGTGTGGAAGGAACGTTTCTTTTTTTGTAAATTTTTTACTGGTCAAAGACAGAATGGATAAGTTACTGCCGTTCCACCAAGAGGCAAAAAGGCTGTAAGGTCTGCATCAATCCACACACATGACAAGAGCCACTGTCAGTAATTTTGGCCTTGGAAAGTTTGCCGCGTGTGTACAGGATGTGATGGTTGATTTTGTTGTGGTTGGTTAATGTTTGTTGTGCGTGATACAGATATTGTTGAGTTTCTTTTCAAAGTCGTAATTATAGTAATGACATCATAAGCAATACCAAGAAGCGGCCTTTTCTTTCATTTGGAATTTCTCAGAATAACTGCACTTACCAAAACCTTACATTGTCTAGGTTAGTCGAGGGGATGATGACCTCGAGATATTTTGTTTTACAGCTAATAATTCCCGGTTCATGGATCCTCGCAGTGATTTTTAATATTCCAGAATTTATCAAGCAAGACTTTGTGGAGGAAAAAAATCCCAACTATTGTATTAACGATTACGACTGGCAACAAGAATGGATGGAAAAAGCCTTTCTATTGGCAAGAATTTGCGTTCCTATGCTTTGCTTTACCCTGATGATGGTATTGTATTCAAGAGTCATATACACTATGTACTTCAAGCGTGATGAGTATACTCAACACACATGCCGACAACTGGTATGACTTTATTGTCCCATAAATGTTTTGTGTGGAAGTACCGAGAAAAAAACTTGCAATTAACTAGAGAAAGTCTTTTATTTAGGGGTCCCGTTGTCTAAAAGACTGCCCGAGAATGTGAGAATATTTATACATTCAAAAGAGTTCTCAAAACACCTACCAACAAAGCAGCACTTGAGAAGGTTTATCTTATTAGAGGAACCTGGATGAACTACAATAAGGGTCTTGTTATCTTTGTATATTTTTAATTTTCTTTTAGTCTTAGCTTTTGTATTAAGTCTTAATTGCCAGCTTGTAATTTTAAACTTTACCTTCTTTGCTACTATATAGTTGTATTTCGTTATAGTTGTATACAGTATATATAGGTTTAATTTAAAATGTATCTTTTATCTATCTATCTATTTATTTATTTATTTACTTGATTATTAGGCAGGTCCACATCATCAGCTTTAATTAGTTGCCTGTATTTTCTAACCTGAAGTATCAAATAAATTATGTGTGTATGTATGTGATTTTATTATGGGCTGTTTACAACTAGAGTCAAAGCACCCGTGCCTGAGGGTACTACTGATTGGCGTTGTGTTTGCAAGGGAGTCCCTGATATGCACCTTGCATTCGTCTTGACGAAATTTAGCCAGTTTAGAGGCAAAAAACAAATCGACACTTTATTTTAGTGTCAATGTATTTAGCACGAAAGTACTCATTGGGGACACTATTTTTTACGTCTCTTACTGGAGACGGAACCACCATTTTACGTGGTCATCAACGCGAAGGTCTAGCCGGTTGCATTACAAAGGTAGTAACTTCATTTCTTTAGTCCGGCCCCGGGAATCGAACCCGAGTCCTCCCGCTCTGCAGTCACACGCTCTACCGACTGAACTAACACTGCAGGAACTAATGCAGTTGCTTCACTATATCTTTACATTATCTTAATTGCTAATGCCAGCACAGGTTGTAACGTGTTTTTGAGAGAGGGATACTGATAGAAACTTTCGACGATCAAGTGACCAATAGCTGTCAGCACAGTAATTTATAAGTTAACTGTAATTATTCATAACAATTCTTACAACTTGTGTTACAGAAACTCGTTATTCGTGGCCCACGTTTTATCCCATATCGTTTTATAAATTTGTGCATACTTTTTACTTACTTTTGTTTGTTTATTATTTATTGACCACGAAACTCTTTTCAAAGCAGGCTAGACGCTTCAATCGACCAATTCCGATATATTAAAATCCATAAATGGCTGCGATGCTTGGTGTCAAGTATGACTTTTAATATATCGAAAATGGTCTTTTCAAACCATTCTTTTTCGTGCTCATGAGTTTTCGTTTCATTTTTCTTTACCCAGGCTGTACTGAAAGTGCGTAAGAGAGTCACCCTAATGGTTCTTATAGTGACTGTTACATTTGGAATATGCTGGGGTACAGACTACATACTCCACGTGGTGGAAATTGTTGCCTCCTACAAATTCAGCCCGGTAGCGATCCCCGTGGCTCACGTCATGCTCATGTTTAATGCCGCTGTCAACCCGTTTGCATATGCTTTGGTTAACCAAAGGTTTCGAGAGAAGATGAAGGGAATCTTAGTCTGCCGCTTACCTTTTTCTTCTGCGAGTGTGCAAACAGCAACAGAATCGCCTAGCATTGGGCCGGCCTGGCACGTCACACAGCCAAGAGAGAATGTCCTTGCACGAGACCCAGCTTGGAGTAATATCGAGCTCCAGTCTTATAGAAACAGTTCTACAATTAAGCAATAGAAAACATTTCCCCTGTTTGCATAGCCTGATAAAATCACGAGAATGGCTTGGGAGAATTCGAGACAGTTGTGCAAACCTGGAAAGGTTTATGTCAGGCTTTGCAAACATGGAAAAACGTTTTAGTAATAATAATAATAATAATGACTTTATTCACAAATCCATGGAAAAGTGAAAAGGAGATAAAGGAGATTATCCTTTTCTAGTTTATCTCCTTATTATAATAAATTAAGAACATTAATTATTTACAACTGTTTAAAATACTAAATATAAAATATATAATATATTACATGTTTGAAGAACTTAGTGTTTACTATAAAATTTGCAAGATGACATCTCAGTCTGGTCTTAAAAGTGTTCAAATTTTCTTCCTCAGCAATTCCATTCGGCAAATTATTCCACTCGTGGATTATGTGTATAAAAAATAATATTTAAAGCTATTCAAAGTTGCGCATGCAAACCTAAGTTTAAAACGGTGATCAGCTCTAAAGGGTCAAAAATCATGTGGAAACATAGAAAATTCTGAGGGATCTGTTTAACGTCTTATAACACTCGGTAAGCGACGAAAATAATCTTCTTTTCTTGTTGAAGTGTTGGCTATTTAAGGAACTTTAGACGTTCTTCGTAGGACATGTCTCACCCAATATTTCCAAGGGCACATTTGGATGCTCTACGTTGTACTTTCTCCAAGGTGTTTGAGTCTTTTTTAAGTTGCGGACACCAAACTGGAGAGCAGTGCTCAAGTATTGGACGTACTAGACTCTTATAAAGTTTGGGAAACAACTCAGGATTTTTAGGACCCACCGCTCGTCTTACGAGCATATTGTCTGCCTTATTTGCGCATTTGTTGGCTCGTATACTCCATGACAGGTTTGAAGTAATGTAAATTCCGAGATCTTTAACTTCAGATACAGCTTTCAACTGGTTACCACATAGATGATATTGAGGGCTTGAGTAATCATTCTTTTTAGAAATGCCCATCTCTACGCATTTATCAGTGTTAAATTTCAGTTGCCAGTCATTGCTCCAAGATTCCAGGCGAGTAAGATCTTTCTGTAACTCTTCTACATCTTCCTTAGTATCCCCGAGTACCCTATACACCTTCATATCATCTGAAAATAGTTTTGTGTCTGACATAATATTATTTGAGATATCATTAATATAAATTAGAAATAAAATAGGTCCCAACACGGCTCCTTGGGGCACACCAGACATAACGGAAGTCCAAGATGTGTGATGTTCCCGCAGAACGACGCGCTGGTATTGATTGGGGAGAAAGCATCTAAGGCAAGACAGGACTGGACCTTGGATACCGTATGCGTGTATCTTTGTCAAAAGGCGTTCATGTGGCACCGAGTCGTAAGCTTTCGAAAGATCCAAAAAAATAACATCAGGTGTCAATCCATTGTTTCTCTCAAGGGCCCAATTATGAAACGAAGGTAACAATTGAGAAAGACAGGACTTCCCTTTCAGGAAGTCAAATTGCTCCGGAAGAAAGACCTCGTTTGTAATCCAAAACTGCTGTCTTACCATCATTTCACACATTTTGCTCACCACCGATGTTAGTGAGACAGGGCGATAGTTCTTTCGAACGTTTTTAGCACCTTTCTTATGCAAAGGAGTGATGTCAGCCAATTTCCAGTTGTGTGGTAACATGCCTATTGCTGTTATAAAATAACTTGTCTTTTTTTCAGTTCACTTGGGAAGGAAATGGTTAGATTCCATAGCTCAAAAGGAGGTTTTTGAGCCCGCGAGACTGAGCACCCCCACCCAAACCTTTTTTTCACGAAAACCGCTGGACACTGCCACCTCCTTTTGAGCTGTGGAAACTAGTCCCTACCACTTTGGGAACAAACAGCTAGGCCGCCGCGCTTGGAAATCTTGACCGATGGTTTGTTAGTTGCTTCATCTTCCAAATATGTAAGCGTCAGCAGGTTATGAAGAATTTGCCGGGGGATTGAGCCAATCAGAAACAGCGAAATATTTGGAATGAATTATTATATGATTCATGCGATTGGCCCCTGATCCACCAGCCCCTTAGCTCCGTTCTTGTCAATCGTCCGCGCATGAGGTAAGGAGGGCTACTGTGACTCGGACTTCGTGACCTCTTAACACCACACATTTCCCCCAAATAAGTCTTTTCAATAGGTAAGCTTTTACCAAGCAAGTTATACGGCCTCGGATTCGGTTCCCAAACATTTCTGGTCACTATAATCAGCGATTAACGGTGATTTCACACCGGAGTATTCTCTCATGCTATTAAGAATGCAACTTCAATTATTATTCACTCAAAATATTTCTCCGTTTCTAAGTGGCTTGAATTCCCAAGCTAATTCTTCGTAACCAGCTAGCATTGACCAAATTTGGAATGCGTTTGCGATAAGCGGGAAATGATGTCATTAGTAAAGGGTAATCACGGGAACAGCAGCCGAGAAGCCTTGGAGACGAGGTTGCGTGGTTTTGGTAGGGAAGTTGAAAATAGCAGAAAATGTCATGTGTTTCAGGAAGAAGAAATAGCCGAGCTACGATACATCTTGACGGATGAAGCCATTATTTGACGAATATCTGCTACACTAAACATTTCTGAATCCTGAATTTGGCGAGATACAGACAACTTTAAGATCGATGGTTTGTTTTTAAACTACTGTAGGAATAATTTGAATTGAAAACAATTCGGATTTCGAATGGTCTGGAGAATTATACAGATTGAAGATGTTGGACAGTCTCGGCAAACAACACCTTCCTTGATCCGCAAGATTTTCTCATATATGAAAACCGAATCCAATGATTGGTAATTATCCGCTCGCTCGATACTTAGATACAGTGAATGAGTTGTAAAAGCCTTGTTGGTTAGAATCATATCATATCGACAAAAGCAAGTGAAATAGTTTCTTTTTTTCAAAAAAAGGAAATGATAAATCATGATGGTTATATACACAATGGCTTAAGAAGATGAAAACCCAAGAGTTGTATGACATAAGTGTTCTATCTTTATGTCCTGAACTTACCATAAAGAAGCTAGAGACCTATGGTTTCGGCAATCGTTCGTTGGATTTAATGCGATCTTTCTTCGACAGGATACTTAACAGGGTAAAAATTAGTGACCACACGAGTGAATGGAAAACCATGACACGTGTCTTTCACGGCACTACATCTGGGCCGTTTCTGTGGAGTATGTTTCAGAATGACATGGCGGATCACGTTAATGAGCCAACCCTCACCATGTAGGCTGACGACCATCAGTTGAATGCAGCTGGCGAGACTCATGGGACTGTAGAATCAGGGCTCAAAACATAGAGCCACTTAGCGTCATCTTGGTATAAAACCAACTTTCTATTTGCTAATCCGGAGAAGTTCCAGTCCTTAACTGTCACTCCCAGGAATATCGATGTAGAGATTAAACGATGAAACTTTGAACATTGATAATCATGACATCAGGAAAACAGAGCAAATAAAATTACTGAGAGTAGCTAGGGGTCTAAAGTGACGAGAATCTGTTCTTTGCGTATCATATAAGCGAGTTATGTTCAAGAGCTAGTCAAAAAGAAGGAATATTTATATGTTATACGAGACGTTCATCTTGCCATAGTTAATCATCTGATAGCATCCAAGAGCGTGCGTTGCGCGCAGTATATAAATCCTAAACTGAAACGTAAGAGGAACTCCTCACTCACGCCAAGCTGCCTACGCTTTATAACGGGCGTTTGCAAGACATGTAATGTATAAGGTAAAATACGGGATGGCGCCCAGGTGTGTATCTGAGTCATTCAGGATCAAAAGTACACACCAACGCCTAAGAAAATGTGATTTTGAACCACCCCGCTTTGATACAGTGGCCTATCGAAGGCATTCGCTGCGCTACCAAGGACCATTTTATTTGGTCGAAGGTCAGTGGTGAGCTAAGATTCTTAACAAGCCTCAAAACAAGAAACATATACGCGATGTGGACCTTTCGAACCATATAGAAAACAATAGTAACTGCTGTGACCTGTGTAAATTCTGAGTCGTGTACATTTGTATATAGTTTTAGGTAAGATCATTAATTTAATAATCATGTAATAGATTAGTGCCAGTACTTAGGAAAATTATCCCAATTAGCTAACTGATAAGCTTAATACATTAACACTTAAATAAAGTCATTATTATTATCATTATTATTATTAGATACGATTACTGTTAGTTCTAAAAGCCATATAAAAATTGAAAAAGAAAAGAAAATATGAAAATTTTTGTTTTTTAAGAAACCCAAAAATGAACAACCGCTCAGAAATAGTTGTCCTTGTTTTTGCTATTCGCAGTTTTGCGTTTTCAGAAGTGATTCATAGGGTGTTAAACTAGCTAGCTATCACCAGCTAACGCACATAGACAGTATGGATGGGAATTAAGGAATTCAAATAGTACGTCATAAGTAAATGAAAGCGGCTTTAAAAATCACAATAACCATGATAAACTCTGTTTTCGTTTCAGCAATACTGATTCGTAAATTAGCAGGCTAGCTGCTACTTTTGTTTTTCAAGCATTTGAAAGCAAAAGAAAAATGATTATTAATTATATCATTCAATCGTATTGGTATTTAATTAACTTTCTTTGTTTATTATTGTATTCCTATCGGTAACACCATGTATGGCCGAAATGGTAATACGAATAAACATGTTGTTGTTGCTGTAATCAAAATTTGTGCCATTAAACTGGTTGTTAATTGCTGGCATTATTAAGATTTCTTTGTGAAAAGTTAACAGTTTTAACTTTTTACCCACAAAAATAGCAAACCCCCTCCTCCTTATCCCCCGGCTTCCCCCACAACGTAACGACCTCTGAAAGCTTCTAAGTCCAACAGTAATGAGAGTGGACATGGTGGTAACCTTAGCAATGCTTATATAAACGAAACACTTAAAGCACGTGACACACCGGGACACCTTAGTTACGAGCCGTCCAGTGCCTTTCGCCTGTTCACAGCCATATCGCCCAAATTAGGGCGAAATTACTTATTGGATGATATGGCT